CTTCCTCCTCCTCTTCCTCCTCCTCCTCCTCCTCCTCTTTCTCCTCTGGCCGAGCCGAAGAGGCAGGCGGGCCAGCCGAGCCGGGGGCGCCCGCCTTCTCCGCCCCCCCCTCCTCCCCCCCCCCTCCACCTCCCCCCCCCCATCCCTGCTTCTCCGGCCGAGCTGAGAAGGCGCGCGGAAGAGTATTTTATTAGGCGGGCGCGCCACCGCCAGCTCACGAACCGGGCGAAGAACCGCCCCCGCCAGCAGCGGGCGAGTCTAAACGCACAACAAACTCTTTCAGGAAGCCCTGGCACGCCCCAGGCTAGCTCTGCGAAGGCCAGGAGGCATTGGAGGCACAGGGGTCCCAGACAGCTCCTGGGGCATGAGCGTGCATGTGCATTGGGATGTGCACGCATGTGCGCCCGCGCGCTTCACCGCATGTGCGTGCATGTGCGGGCCCGCGCGGCCTGCCGAAGAGAGGTTGCACAGGCATGTGCGTGCATGTGCCGATGACAGATCTGCGATTCTCGAACACCTCCCGCATTTGCAGGCATGTGCGCGCATGTGCGTCGGATTGTACGCGCATGTGCGTATGATGGATAATCAAAACACAGCGCAGATGCCCCCGCACATGCCCGGGCACGACGTGCACAGTAGGAAGTCCATCCAAAAAGGGCCGCACAGGCCTGGCACATGACTGGCACATGCCGCGCACATGCGCGCACATGACAGCGCAAAAACGGCCGCACATACACCCACCCAGGGGTATAGATGTGAGTGCGGTGTAATTGACAAGGGAACATGCCAGGAAGACGCGCCGCGGAACGTCCCAAGGGACGCGCCAGGCGAGGTGCCAGAAAACGTGCAACGGGGACGCACCGCGGGACGTGCAGAGGGGACGCACTACGGAACGTGCCAATGGACGTGCCACGGGACACGCGCCGCGCGACGTGCCAGGGGGACTCGCCACGGGACGCGCCACGGAACGTGCCAAAGAACGTGCCAAAATGTTGCAATGCTTAATCTATCGATCTTGATGTACCGTGCTGACGGCAGTGCTGTGCTCCGCCGTGCTGAACTGCGATGTGCCACGTGACGAGTGTGCTCTATAGCGTCGTGGATCGAGTCCTCCTTTGCATCCGAGTTCTAACCGAACTGATCTGGTCCTTAAGCTCGAGCTGCCTGAGCAAATAGTAGCTGCCCGAGAGCTAATACACAGAGGGGCATGCTAGGAAGACACGCCGCGGAACGGTTCAAATGACGCGCCAGGCGACGTGCAAGGGGACGTGCCATGGGGACGCACCGCGGGACGTGCCAAAGGGACGCACTACGGAACGTGCCAGTGCACGTGCCACGGGACGTGCCAAGGGACGCGCCGCGCGACGTGCCAGGGGGACTCGCCACAAGACGCGCCACGGAACGTGCCAAGGAACGTGAAAAGTTGCAATGCTGAGTGAGTGTATCGATCTTGATGTACCGTGCCGAGGGCTGTGCTGTGCTGGGCCGTGCTGAACTGCGATGTACCATGCCGCGATTGTGTTCTATAGCGTTGTGGATCGAGTCCTCCTTTGCATCCGAGCCCTGACCGAACTGATCTGGATCTTAAGCTCGAGCTGCCTGAGCACATAATTAGTCCACATAGTAGCTGCCCCAGAGCTAATTGACAAGGGAGCATGCCAGGAAGACGCGCCGCGGAACGTTCCAAGGGACGCGCCAGGCGACGTGACGAGGGACGTGCCACGGGGACGCGCCGCGGGACGTGCCAAGGGGACGCGCTGCAAAACGTGCTGGGGAAAAGCGTCGTGCTGGTGGCCTGGCATGGCAACTGTTCAAAGACACTTGATTGGGCGACGGGCAAATGCAATGCAGAATGTATCGATCTTGATGTACTGTGCCAGGGGCTGTGCTGTGCTGCACCGTGCTGAACTATACCGCGATTGTGCTCTAGATATAGCGAAAAAACTAAAAAGACATACAACAAAAAAAAAATATACATAAAAAAAAAAATTAAACAGTAAAAAATATAAAAGCAACCATAACCACTACCCTCCCATAAAACTAAACTGCTCCCCAGCCCCTACAACCCCCACCTAGTCCCACACCCCCCCCACCCCCACACCCCCCCCTCATCACCCCACCCCCCCCATCTCCCACCCCTACACCCCCCCCCCCTCCGTCATATCCACCTCTACCCCCCCTCACCCCCCCCCCACGCCCCACCACCCCACGACCACTCACGTGAGCACCCCCGCTTCATCACCCGCCCCTACACCTTCCCAACACCACCCCACCCCCCCCCACACCCACCCACACCACCCCCCCACCCCCCCCCCCCATAATGCGTCGTGGATCGAGTCCTCCTTTACATCCGAGTCCTGACCGAACTGATCTGGATCTTAAGCTCGAGCTGCCTCGGCACATAGTAGCTGCCCCAGAGCTAATTGACAGGGGAATATGCTAGGAAGACGCGCCGCGTAATGTCCCAAGGGACGCCCAAGCGACGTGCCAAGGGACGTGCCACCGTGGTCCACCGCGGACGGGCCACGGAGCGCGCTACGGAACGTGCAATGACGTGCCGCGGGACGTGCCAAAAGGGCGCGCCACGCGACGTTCCAGGGGGACACGCCAAGTGACGCCCCACGGAATCTGCCAAGTTTGCAATGCTGGAGAAAAGGGTTAAAACGATCTGATGTACCCGTGCGTAAATCTGTGCTGTGCTGCGCCGTGCTGAACCTGCGATGTCCATCCGCGATTGGGCTCAAGGAAAAATAGCGTTGTGGATCGAGTCCCTATTTGCACCACTCGAGTCCTGACCGAAATGATCTGGATCTTAAGCATCCGAGTCCTGAAACACATAGTAGCTGCCCCAGAACTAATCGACAGGGTGGCATGCCAAGAGGACGCGCCGTGAAACTTCCTAAGTGACGCGCCAGGCGACGTGCCAGGGGACGTGCCACGGGCACGCACCGCGGGACGTGCCAAGGGGACGCGCTACGGAACGTGCCAATGGACGTGCTGCGGGACGTGCCAGGGGACGCGCCGCGCGACGTGCCAGGGGGACTCGCCACGGAACGCGCCACGGAACGTGCCAAGGTGCAAAGCTGAAGCATCGATCTTGATGTACCCTGCCGAGGGCTGTGCTGTGCTGCGCCGTGCTGAATTGCGATGTGCCATGGAGCGATTGTGCTCTATAGCCTCGTGGATCGAGTCCTCCTTTGCATCCGAGTCCTGACCGAACTGATCTGGATCTTAAGCTCGAGCTGCCTGAACACATAGTAGCTGCCCCAGAGCTAATGGACAGGGGAACATGCCAGGAGGACGCGACGCAGAACGTCTCAAGGACGCGCCAAGCGACGACAAGGGACGTGCATGGGCACGCACCGCCGGACGTGCAAGGGGACGCGCCTACGGAACGTGCAATGATGTGTCCACGGATGTGCCAAGGGACGCGCCACGCGACGTGCCAGGGGACTCGCCAAGGGACGCCCCACGGAACGTGCCAAGGCACGTGCCAGGTTGCAATGCTGAGTGTATCGATCTTGATGTACGTGCCGAAGTCTGTGCTGTGCTGAATTGCGATGTGCCATGCCGCGATTGTGCTCTATAGCTCGTGGATCGAGTCCTCCTTTGCATCCGAGTCCTGACCGACTGAATCTTAAGCTCGAGCTGCCTGAACACATAATAGCTGCCCTCGCGGGGTCAGGGTCCAAAAACACAGGGATTTGCCACATTTCTGAAATTCGGTGCCACCCCTCACGCAGATCCGCGGGGTCAGGGTCCAAAAACACATGGGATTTGCAACATTTCTAAAATTCGGTGCCACCCCTCACGCAGATCCGCGGGGTCAGGGTCCAAAAACACATGGGATTTGCCACATTTCTGAAATTCGGTGCCACCCCTCACGCAGATCCGCGGGGTCAGGGTCCAAAAACACATGGGATTTGCCACATTTCTGGAATTCGGTGCCACCCCTCACGCAGATCCGCGGGGTCAGGGTCCAAAAACACAAGGCATTTGCTACATTTTTGAAATTCGGTGCCACCCCTCACGCAGGTCGGCGGGGTCAGGGTCCAAAAACACAAGGGATTTGCAACATTTCTAAATTCGGTGCCACCCCTCACGCAAATCCGCGGGGTCAGTGTCCAAAAACACATGGGATTTGCCACATTTCTAAATTCGGTGCCACCCCTCACGCAGATCCGCGGGGTCAGGGTCAAAAAAACATATAGGATTTGCCACATTTCTGAAATTCGGTACCACCCCTCACGCAGATCCGCGGGGTCAGGGTCCAAAAAACACAGGGGATTTGCAACATTTCTGAAATGCGGTGCCACCCCTCACGCAGATCCGCGGGGTCAGGATCCAAAAACAAAGGGGATTTGTGCGATTTCCGAACTTATGCAACTTCAAGAATCCATAACTCCGTTCCCAGCGCCGTTCCGGAGGCCGCGGCACCTTGTTATTTATCGAGCGGACGCGTTTACCCACATTTTTTATCGTTTAAAGTCGATGTCGGAAACAAAGTTGACTTCACCTGTGAAATATCGAGGTTTCCTTACAGGCAATAAAACTCCAAGAGCACGATCTGCTTGAGGGGTGGCGAAAAATTGCCTGCGTCCTCACAATTTTAATTCGCCGGCCCCCTTCGACCTCGTAATTTATCGCACAAGAAATTCGCCGGCCCCCTTCAAGTAAAAACCGGGGGTAAACAATCTAAAAGAGAATCCTGGGCTCGAGCCCTTTCCGGGAAAAAACAAGTTTTACTTATAATCTTACCGAGACGCGCGATGTTTTCTTCCCCCAGGGTTGCGTTTTTGTTCTCGCATATGTTTTGCGCGGGGCATGTCGGGCAGCATTTTGGGCGGCAGTTCGGGGGGATGTTCAATCATCACGCTCCCACGTCGTAGCCGACGGGTTTGAGGTTGTTTTGGCCGGGCCCTGGTTTTGGGCAGACCCTGTTTTGGGACTGTGTCTGGGGGGCGCCTGACACAATGCCCTTGCGGACCGGGCGGCTGCACCCGCCGGGCGACGTTCTGGAGCATCCAGCGCTGCACGGCGGTGGGCTGGAGGTGCCCCTCAGGTGGAAGATCGTGCCCCTGGGCACGTCGCGAATTCAGGCTGGCGGCGGCAAGCTGGTTCAGGGCCCGAACCGAGTCAAAAACTTGCCGTGGCCGCGCAGCGTCACATGCATCGCCGATCGAGGGCAGCAGCATCTCGAGGCAAAGGGAAAGGATCTCCGCGCCGTCGATCTCGCGACCTGACCCCTCCGGAGGCGGAGGCGGCGAGCCCACGTAGTTGTCGGCTGCGGGGGGGCTTTGTCGACGCCAGGGCTGCCAGCGCCGGCGCCCCCGCAGCCCCGAGAGGCATCATCCCTCGTCGCCGGCGCCGCCTCTGGCGCCGGCGTCCTTCCCCTTCTTCTTCTTCGGACCTTTTCCGTCGTCATCTCCACCCTTCTTGCCGTCGCCCTTCCTCGTCTGCTTTTGCTCTTCACGATAGAGCCGCTCTTGTTTCCAGATGGCGGCCCTCTCCTTGAGGCGGTCGGTGACCCAGGAGTTGAACTTCGAGGTCGAGGCGCGGCCCACGGCGTTGACGGGCGCGGATATGACTATGTCGAGGCCACTGTAGTCGGGGTGCCGAGGGGTCCTTTCCACCGCTATCTCCGTCTGGATCAGCCAGCGCACGATGAGCTCGGCCGACGCCATCATCGACAGGTCGACCTGGTCCCAGGAATGCGTGAGACGAATCATCTCGCACAAGTTCCGATGCACGTGGTTGACGGTCGACCCCTCGCCTACGCCGCTGAGACGCCCCCACTCCGCCTGGTACGAGGTCACATTGCCCGGCCCAGCGCCGACGCTGTCGAGGAACTCGATCCTTCACGCTCCTGATTCCGGCCAGTGGGAAGCCTTTCTGCTCGGTGTCGCGCACGAGGGCGACCGCCTCCGTCAAGTGGAGGGCCCGCTGCCCAGCGTCGTCCGTGTGGTCGCCGAGCGTGCGGACGTCGCCTAGGTCGGTCTTCGTCTCCTTCTTGAAGTCCGCCAGGCCGCTAGCCGCTATCTTCTGCACAAAGAACTCCTCGCCATCCAGCACCACCGCGCCCTTCGTGTCGAAGCTCGCGCAGCGAGCGTCGTCGTCCATCAGCGCAGTGTCCACGACCTCGCCGAACCTTGCCGAACGAGCCTCTGCGAACACCCAGATCATCCGCTCCGCGGCGTCGACCTGGCCGACCCCCAGCAGCTGGCCCTGCATCTTCGCCCTGCGCCGGTAGCCGGCCAGCGCCGCGCCCGCGATGGGGTCGCGAGCGTAGACCTGGTTCGCCAAGTGCGGCGGGAACGGCGCCCGCCTCTCTAGCACCTGCGAATCGTTCTCGTACCTCACGAGGATCTGCGGGTCCGCAGTGCCCAGGGTCAGCACGTCAGCCATATCGTCGGCTCGGGGTGCTCGGCCCAGCGCCGCCCGTCAAGGCGACCGTCGGCGGCGGCTGAGGCTCTGGCGGGGCCGCCGCCGGCGCTGGCGAATCCCGCCCCTTCCCTTTTCGAGAGCCTGATCCCTCCCCCCCCAAGAGGAGGCGGAGGAGGAGGAGGAGGACGAGGAGGACGAGGAGGAGGAGAGGGAGGACGAGGAGGAGGAGAAGGAGGAGGACGAGGAGGAGGAGGAGAAGATCGAGGAGGGGAGGGAATGAAGAAAAGGATCAGCGAAGTGGGAGCGGGCACCGCGCGCTGCGTTCGGCCGCCTTCGTGGCGACGAACCGCAGCGAGGCGAGCGGCGGGGCCGCCGGGGGGGGCCTCCTCCTCTTCCTCTTCCTCTTCCTCCTCCTCGTTCTATCTCCTCCTCGTCCCCCTGTTCCTCACCCCCATCTTCGTCTTCCTCCTCCTTTCTCCTCCTCGTCCCTTTCCTTGTTCTCCTTGCCCTCCCCCTCCTCATTCTCCTCCTCCTCCTCCTCCTCCTCCTCCTCCTCCTCCTCCTCCTCCTCCTCCTCCTCCTCCTCCTCCTCCTTCTCTTTACACCCTTGTCTCTCACCCTCAAGCCTTCCAGGTGCGCTCCAAAACGGCTCCATAACGCCTCGGTAAGATATCTCAGCATTAGTCAGAGGCCAAAGCGCGTTTCAAGACGGCCCAAAATGATTCCAATATGGCCCAAGAGTTACCCGAAACACCCCAACGACACGGGCAAGTGGACCCCAAAACGTGTTTGCACATGCCAACGATATGTAGCGTTCTCCAAACTGTGATTGCAATGTTATTCTCGATGGATCAAGTGTTCATTGTGATGATGGCGATGTTATGCTAGTTGTTTTTTTCCGCAGCCGACTGGAGCACGGCTGCAAGTGTAATTGCTGTGCCTCGTCGTCACGAGGCCAACCGTTGATATGAAATATGGATATGGCAGCGAGTGGTCATTCACGAACTGCTGCCTGCAACCAAGATGTCGACCGATGCCTGCAGCACCTCATCCTTGAAATCTCCGTGCCCCCTGAATACCTCCAGATCGTTCTCAGCAGAATCACGCTGCAGCAGCAGCGCCTTCTTCACCCCAATAACGTTCGAGCCGCTCGCCGCTGCCCATGCGAAGTATCCGGGAGGGGCCACGACCAGATCACCAGAAGCAGCTGTTGTTGTGAAAACGTGCATGCCTTTCTCGATGAGCGCCTTCGCGTCGTCCTGCCTCAAGGCTAGGAGCATCGTCGAGGCCCGGCTCTTGATATCGACATCCTTCATGTAGCCGAGATGGCTCAGCAGATCAACGCCCTTGATGAAGATGAGCTTGACGTTGCCTCCTTTGACGTAGTAGCGAGCAGAACCGAACAGGCCAGTCTCGAAGTCCATACCCACGAAAGTGGCTAGATATCCGAAAAACCACAGCTTGTCGGTAGAGGAGGCCACGACAGGATGCTTGCTGACGTCAGCGTACATCCGCTTCGGCGGAATGCTGCTCATGAGAGGCTCCGCCACAGATGCACCATGGACCGCCGTCATCGGGGCATTCGCCTGGTCACCCCTCTTCTCGGCCATGGCGGGGAACTTCTCCAAGAACTTATCCACGCTGCTAGCCAGGGCGCTGTCCTTGAAAGCGTCGGTCCACGCGCCCCCAGCGCTGACTTTGAAAGGTTCGTCCAGCACTGCTGCTGAGTCCCCACTCAGCGCCTCCTCGAACTTTGGCGCACCATCGAACGATTTGACAGCCTTGCCCCCGATCGCGCCCCAGTCCACTGCAAACGCCCCAGCCTTGGTGGCCCTGGGGGGGGGAACTGCGCCCAGCTGAGAGGACGACGAGGAGGGCGTGGAGAAGGGCGAAGAGAGGAAGAGGAGGAGGAGGAGGAGGAGGAGGAGGAGGAGGGAGGCGAAGAAGAGCAGGAGCACGAAGAGAGGAGGAGGAGGAGGAGGATGACAAATGAGAAGGAGGAGGATGGGATGGAGGAAGACAAGGAGACAGCGGGCAGGCAGTTCCCCCCCTGTCCTCATCGCTGTGATCTGCTTCTTCAGGGCGCTGGTGGCCGCCGAAGCCGCCGCCCTCTGCTCCTCGAGCTTCTTGGCCTTCGCCTCCCTCTCGCGCTGGGCAGCTGCTTGTGAAGCCGTGCTGGCGCTCTTCTTCACGAGTTTCGTGGCATCCATGATGCAATCGCGCAGCTGGCCGAGCTGCATCTTGAACTGGTCCACCTTTGCCTCCGCCTCCTCAATCGCGTCCGGGGTGGTTGCGGCCCGAATGTCCCCAACCAGCGACTCCGCCCTGATCATGCAGAACAGCTCCTCCTTCTTATCTATGGGAAGTAGTTCGGCCCTCGCGACGGTCTCCTTCAACTTGTAGTCGTGATATGCCACCGCGTCGGAATTCAAGTGGTCTGGAAGCTGGCCACCCGCCTGAGCCGCCTTGTAACCTTCGAGGGCCTTCTTGAAATTAGCATTGATGTCTATGTCTTGGGCGCTCGCGATTGACTCAACCCCGATGGTCATATCCTTGCCGAGGACCATGGCCCCGATGAGGAAGCGCTCCAACAACAGGTTCTTTTCCTTCTCGCCTGAGTCGATGCCTTCCTTGTGCGCCTTCGAAGCGAGCGTCATAGACTTCTTGAGCTTGTCGCTTTCAAGCTGCAGTGCCCTCTGCTTTGCCTCTGCAGTTTTGAGTCTCGTGACACCGACGTCAAACTTTTGCTTCTTCGCCGAAGAGCCTGGATCTTTCAGCGACGTCTCCTTGGGGTAGTTGGGGTCCTTGGGGTCCTTGGAGCCAGCGGCGCTTGGACTGGAGGCGGCTGTCGGCGCGTGACTGATCATGATGTCTGTAGCGGCCTTACCCGCATCGTCCGTAGCGTTGACAGCCTTGGCGGATGGAGCTAACAAGGCACTTGCTGAACTCGCAGCAGCGACCACGGCGAAGCCCTTGGTACAGTCCTTGACGGCGGTGTCCAGGTCGCTCTTCGCCATGGCCGTCCCCTTTGGCTTCGCCGTTACCATCTCCTGGGTATGGAAGTTCTTCGTCTCCTGCTTGCTCTGATCGGCCCCAACCATCCACGAAGGCACTGGCAGACGAAGTGGCGCCTCCGGGGGGCCACGATTGTCCTTTTGATCTTCTGGGGTGTCTTGCTCGAGCTGCGCCCACTCCTGCTTGATCTTGGCAGTCGACCACTGCCTGAGGGCCTTCAGCTGGGTGGAGAAAATCTCGAAGTCCCACTTCGGTCTAGCTGACGAATCTGTGGTGCTTCTCTCGGTCCCCCTGCGATTGACGTACGTAGTAAGTGCAATGTCACTTCCCCGGGCTTTCGTGCTTCTCCCGCTGCCAACATCGTCCATGTCAGGATGCTTCGCTCTGACATCTTCCAGCACTTGACTTGCAAGCTCGATCTCCCCCTCGTAAGTCTTACAGCCCTTCTTCCCCTTGTGTCCGAAAATCTTCTTGAAACTCCTGGACTCCTCCGTCTCGGTGCTCTCGTCAGTGTCGTCGACGCCCTTCAGGCTGCGAGTCCTCAAGCATTCGTAAATCCGATGGTGAATCCTGCAGTACTTTTTGTTCCCCACGATACATTCGCCGCACGTAAGAACAGGGCAGTTCTTAGCGGCAGCCGCCGCCGCCCGGGTCTTCGGCTTGGCCACGGCGCATCGTTGAGCCTTATGATCTGGTTCAGCTTCTGAGTCGGCTGCCGCTCCCAACCGCTTGAGGAATCTCTCAGACCGCGAAGTGAAGTGCGGCTCCTCATCTCCGAAACTGAACTCCCTGGCACCATCGGCATCCATGGCGCCCTTCAAGGGGGCCTTGCTGACGTCAAGACCCTGTGGCTCGATGCCGCCCGTCACCGGGGCACTGCCGTCGACATCGGCAGCTTCCGACATAATTACCAAGAGAATTGACAACGTTGCACGTCGCATGTATCGTTATGAAGAAATTGAAAATAGAAAGCACCCTCGACGGAGCCAACATCACTGCGCAAGCGGTTGGGGTTGGATCACGAAGTCAATCGACATCCGAATCCTCACTCGTCACTTCTTGGGGCATCGCGCACCACTGTTTGGGTTCCACGTCCACTGTCCACTGTTTGAGTTCCACGCCTCACTGTTTGGGTTCCACGCCTCCACTGTTATGGGATCCACGCCCACTGCGGGGCTTCCAGTTATGGGATCCACGCCCACTGTTATGGGATCCACGCCTCCACTGTTATGGGATCCACGCCCACTGTTATGGGATCCACGCCCACTGTTATGAGCTCGGCTTAAGGTTTGCGGTTTCTGACGCATGCCTTACTTGTTTGACGTGCGGGGGGGGCATGGCATAGCATAGCATGTGTTACTTAATGCTTATTTGAAATATGATCCGACGTTTGTTTCACGCGCAGTACCCTTGTCACGCATGAAGAGAGAGAGAGAGAGAGAGAGAGAGAGAGAGAGAGAGAGAGAGAGAGAGAGAGAGAGAGAGAGAGAGAAAGAAAGAGAGAGAGAGAGAGCTCAGGAGAAGCCTTTGGGGGTCCAGGATGCCTCGACCTTTGGGGTTCCAGGATGCCTGGGGCCTAGAGCCTTTGGGGTTCCAGGATGCCTGTCGCCATCTAGGGCAGCATCAGCACTGCGGTCCTCCCCCCAACTGGCTTCCCAACGACGTCTCCACTGGGCTGTGGACAACTCAGATCGCCGAGGACGTGGACGAGTAGAGCGAACGATCGGCTGCAGTGCGCGCGGCACCACGTCTGGCAAGCCTAGGGCCCTGGCTTCTTCGAGCCACTGGCCGCTGCCTTGGACGCCCGGCCTGCCTCATCGTCATCCTCCATGATGTTCTTCCACTTGAAGTTGATGGGCGGGCACATGTTGTTTACCACGTCCCTCCTGATCGTGTGGCTTGCCACGAAGCAGAACCACGACTCCTCGGCAACCAGGTGCACCCCGTTGCCCAACGTAGTCTTACCCAAGGTCTGGGTCATCTCAGAGATGTCGAAAGGGAGCAGATCACGTAGCTCAGGATTCTTTGAGAAAGTCGGCCAGCCCTGCGGAAATGCCATCTCCTTCGGCGTGTAGATGTGATCTTTGTTCGCGTCCCCGATGTTGATGCTAACCATCTGCGAACTGCGTCGCACTGTGGGGATCCAGAGGGACATTCGGCTATGACCTTGCGGGTTGCTGCTGACATCAACGACCAGGCGGTTGCAATCCGGTGCCTCGCGTGTCTGTGCTAGCGCATGGTATCCAAGCAGAAAGTCGGCAGCGCTCGGCGACAGCGCCTCGAACGCATAGTTCGGGACTGTTTGGGACTGTTTGGACTGCTTGGACTGCGTCTTCAGGTTCTTCTGGATCTCCTCAGGGGTGTCTAACTGGCAGAAGACGCTGGCCGTGCTGACGACTTTCTCGCGGTAGATGTTCAGAAACGCGTCGGCCACACGCGGCCCCTTGTGCCCAGTCCAGACAAGGGTTTCGTGGCGGAGAGCAGCAGCCCGAACTCGCGAGCGGGCGGTAGGCCAGCCAAGATCCGTCGGCGAGAAGATCGCGTAGATCACCTTGTGCGTCGCCGAAAGGCCTGCGATCAGGAGCTCCATCGGGAAGTGGTCGGACTCCTCCAGTAGCACGATGTCGAACAACTTGGCTTCTTCGAGCCACATGTTGAATGAGCTGATGGACTTGTGGGCAATCCCGTCCTTGACACCTCCTGTACACCACGGTTGACACTGAGGCCCACTCCAGTTCATGGTCAAGGGCGTAGGCGCGTTGAAGAAGTCATCCTCATCGAACTTATCCTCACCAAATCGGCACGGGCACATGGCGCCGTCATGCACGAGGCACTTGTAGGACATCTTGCCCTTGCAGAAGAATGCCCAGTCATTTTTCTTCAGCTCCTCTTTGTGCTTCTCGTTGTGGTCCACCTTATCCCAGAACGGCAAACTTGAATGGAGTGGCGACACCTGCGGCAAGACCCTGGAGGGATCGTGAATATCCTCGACCTTCTTGTACACGTGCTTAGGCCTCAGAGGGTTATCCAAGCTGCAAATGTTCTTGACCAGCTTCGCGTTCGACTCGGACGCCCTGTAGAGCAGCAGCCAAGGTACCGTGAGACCTGTTTGTCGTAGCGCGAGCTCCGTCATCTTCATCGCCATCTCTGCGCCCTGGGCACCGCTGAAGTCCGTGTGCAGGGCAATGCCATGCTCCAGCAAGCTGCACATACGACGACCACGAATGTCACCTCCATGTCCACTGCAGGTTTTCTTCACGCAGTGATCTGCGTGTCTCTCAAACTCATCTTGTGCACTCGGCCCCGGTGGGAGCCAACACGTCATCTTCTGGTATTGCTTGGTGTTCCCACCCTTGAGTTTGTCGATCAGGCGCTTGAACTCGACAGGTTCCATGGCCGAGTACTTCAGAGCAGCTGCATCCTCGTCAAGGTCGTCGTCGGACTCCTCTGCGAGGAGCTCAACGTCGCTCAAGCGCGAGCTCTTGCCGTCTTGATCGTCCTCACTGTCTGCGTCCGACGCGCACAAGAGATCCTCGTCGAGCGCACCGCCATCAGCACGAGCAACCGCCTCTTCGAACTCGAAGGAATCCCTGGGCGGCTCGGGCTGGGGCTGTGGCGAACGAGACCGAGACCTTGGCCGTTCAGGCGATTGACCTTTTGGGACTTGACCCGCATCTGGAACCGCGCCATCTCCCTCGCGCCGATCATTCTCTGACATCGCAACTGGAAGAACGTCAAATGTAAATGGACGCGATCTCTCACTTCACAGATGGACGGTCGACTCGAGCCTCGAAATACAGGGAGTTAGACTGGCCGACGCGCCAACGCGCATCATTGTTCTCACGCAGGGTCCACAGTCCACAGGTCCTCAGCGGTCGTTCACAAGTTCCCAAACAGCGCATGCCCACGAGTCCCCTAACAGTGCTTGTCCACAAGACCCCCGAGCAGTGCTTGCTCAGAAGTCCCCAAAGAGTGGTTAGGGTCACGGACATACGAGACGACACGACGCGACCACTTTTTGGGACAAACAGCGCCCGGCGACCACTTTCCCAAAAAGTGGTCGCCCCGCCGCTGCGCGACGTGACCCCAAGGCGGCCCATCCCCGAGACATTAGCTAACAAAGGCGTGATAAACACATACTTCCGCCAGCTTCCGTCAACTTCGGGAACCCAAGAGCGCCCAAGAGGGCCTTTGGAGGGGCCCTAAGACGGCTCCAAGAGGGCCCCAAGAGGGCCCCAAGAGGGTCCCAAGAAGGCCCCAAGGGGTTGTCACGGAAAGGGGCCCTGCGTGACAACCCCAGCGGTTCCTCTTGGAGCCCTCTTGGGACCTTCTGAGGGCCCTTGGAGGGGCCCTGAGGCGGCTCCAAGAGGGCCCCAACAGGGCCCCAAGAGGGCCCCAAGGGGTTGTCACGGAAAGGGGCCCTGCGTGACAACCCCAGCGGTTCCTCTTGGAGCCCTCTTGGGACCCTCTGAAGGTCTTTGGAGGGGCCCTAAGACGGCTCCAAGAGGGCCCCAAGAGGGCCCCAAGAGGGTCCCAAGAGGGCCCCAAGGGGTTGTCACGGAAAGGGGCCCTGCGTGACAACCCCAGCGGTTCCTCTTGGAGCCCTCTTGGGACCTTCTGAGGGCCCTTGGAGGGGCCCTAAGGCGGCTCCAAGAGGGCCCCAACAGGGCCCCAAGAGGGCCCCAAGGGGTTGTCACGGAAAGGGTCCCTGCGTGACAACCCCAGCGGTTCTTCTTGGAGCCCTCTTGGGTCCCTCTGAGGGCCTTTGGAGGGGCCCTAAGACGGCCCCAAGAGGGCCCCAAGAGGGTCCCAAGGAGGCCCCAAGGGGTTGTCACGGAAAGGGGCCCTGCGTGACAACCCCAGCGGTGGTTCCTCTTGGAGCCCTCTTGGGACCTTCTGAAGGCCTTTGGAGGGGCCCTAAGACGGCGGGAGGCTCGAGGTTCTATAGGGCTATGGGGCTATGGGGCTATAGGGCTATAGGGCTATGGGGCTAGAGGGCTAGAGGGCTATGGGGCTGTGGGGTTATGGGGCTATAGGGCTATAGGGCTATAGGGCTATGGGGCTATAGGGCTATAGGGCTATAGAGCTATGAGGCTATAGGGATTTGAGCCCTATGGGTGCTCGCTGGCGCCTTTGTTAGTGAGCTCACAGGCATCGTTTCTCGTGAGGGCGCAAAGCATCCCAGAAGGCCCTTTGCCAAGTAGAGGTCCCTTCCAGTGAAAAACAAGTTTTTGCACAATTCATGTTTAGCGACGTTTGTTATGTTTGATACAACATCAATACTGCGAAATGATTTCTTGGTGTTCGCATCTGTTTCATTAAGTTTTTCATTGTTTTTGTTTGAATGTGTGGTTGTGTTTCGCTCATGTTTGGCTTTTGGCTGGTTCTGAAAACGTTTGAACATAATTCACTGGTGTTCATACGTGTCGGTCGTTCATTGCGTTCTTTTGTTGATGTTCACGTGTTTTTTTCATGTGCACATGATTTTTCAACAGTTTTTATAAGTTTTACTGCGTTTCGTGATTTTTTGTGAAAGCTAAAGGTTTTTATGCTTTTCAATACTTGTTTAGCATTTTATGCTACTTTTTATACGTTTTTACAACGTTTGGTACATTTTTGGTATTGCTTGTTACTTTTAGCTGTATTTGGGTAGTTTTTCATACTTTTTGATATATTTCGCTACTTTCGCTACGTTGCGGTGTTTTTTTGGTGCTTTTGGCTTTTTCATAGCAGTTTGGTGTGTTTTCGCTGTTTTCATAGCAGTTTTGTGGTTTTGTTGTTTTTTCGCGCGTCTGGCTGCTTCAAGGCGGCCTCCCCGGAAGCTCCCCGGAAGTTCCCCGGAAGTTCCCCAGAAGTTCCCCGGAAGTTCCCCGGAAGTTCCCCGGAAGTGAAGGAGCGAGTATGCAACAAAACCAACGAATCTCACAACAATGCTTTTTGTCCCAAGAAAATGCGAAAAAGCACGAAAAAGCATGAACAAATACCAACATGTACCAAAACGTACCAAAAAGTATGAAAAATTATGGAAAAGTGAGAAAAAGTATGAAATAGTATGAAAAAGTATGAAAATGTATGAAAAAGTATGAAAAATACAAAAACGTATGAAAAAGTATGAAAAATATGAAAAAGTATGAGAAAGTATGAAAACATATGAAAAAAGTATGAAAAAAAACATCAAAAAGTCCAAAAACGTATGAAAAAACATCAAAACACATCAAAACATATGAAAACTCACGACAACAAATTCACGATAACACAAAACATAAAAAAGCATCAAGAAGTATCGAAAAAGCATCACAACATATCAAAACGCAACAAAACATAGGAATCATCATCAACACTTAACCAAAAGCAGCAAAACACATTTAAACACAACAAACACTATTAGATCGCATCAAAAAGCTTGAAAAACTTTGCAAATGTCAGGCACGCTCCAACATTGTTTAAACTGTATACAGTTTTGGAGACACACAGGTTTAATGGCCTCCCTTGGCCCTGGACCCTTGGGGAGCCCATGGGAGGCACGACGGGCACCCACAGGACTCATAGCCCTATTGCCTCATAGCCCTATGGCCCTGTAGCCCTATAGCCCTAGAGCCCCATAGCCCCATAGCCCTATAGCCCTATGGCCCCATAGCCCTACAGCCATACAGCCCTATCGCCCTGGTCTACACGTTTTGTTTTGAATTTCTGGTACGTTAGCATGTTTTTTTAACCCTGGTACGTTTGCACGCGTGTTTTTGGAAACCCTGGTACGTTAGCATGCCCCATGTTTGAAACCCTGGTACGTTTGCATGTCCATGTTTTGAGCACCCTGATACGTTGGCATGTTTGTAGAGATGATGTTAGTTCCGTAGGCCACATAGCCCTATAGCCATATAACCCTATAGCTCTACAGCCCTATAGCCCTATAGCCTTACAGCCCTATAGCTCTATAGCCCTATAGCCCTATAGCTCTACAGCCCTATAGCCCTATAGCCTTACAACCCCATAGCCCAACACGCCCAAGACAACGTCCAAGACGGCCCGAGACGGTCTCCAAGACAACGTCCAAGATGGCCGAGACCACTGGGCCCTGGAAGGCCGAGGACTCCAATGGACCCGCACGGCAGCACGGCAGAGCAGACCAACACAGCAGAACAGCAAGGCAGACCAGCACGGTAGACCAGCGCGGCAGATCAGTAGTATTGCATATCAGCGAGGCAGACCAGCACAGAAAACCAGACGGGCACGGCAGGAGCCCAAACATGCCCAAGACGCCCAAGGAGCCCAAAGAATACCCAAGAAAGGCGCACCCCTCACGCGGATCCGCGAACGAGGGGTTAGGACGGGCAGTCACGACCCCTCTTCCCCCCCCCAGCACTTGGTGTTGGAGGGGAGGGGGTTCGTGACCTTCGCCCCCGCCCGTGGGAGCCCCCGGTCGCGGACCCTAGGGCAGGCGGTGAGGCGGAAGCCTAGGGCTAGTGCCCGATGATGCACCCCTCACGCGGATCCGCCAAAGGGGGGTTGGGACGGGCAGTCGCGACCCCTCCTCCCCCCCAGCACTTGGTGCTGAAGGGGACGGGGGTCGCGACCTTCGCCCCCGCCCGTGGGAGCCCCCGTTCGCGGACCCTAGGGCAGACGGCGAGGCGGAAGCCTAGGGCTATTGCCCATGATGCCCAGAAATTGGGGCCCGAGATGCCCATAAGGGCCCAAAGACGGACCCGCCCAATACGCCCAAGACAGCGTCCAAGACGGCCCGAGACGGTCTCCAAAACGGCCCACCCAAGGCAACCTCCAAGATTGCCCACCCAAGACGGCCCACCCAAGACGTCCTCCAAGACAGCCCGCCCAAGACAGCGCCCAAGACGGCCCGAGACGGTCTTCAAGACGGCCCACCCAAGACAACACCCAAGGCTGCCCACCTAAGACTGTCAAGGCTATAGCGGCATCATAGCATAGCATAGCCAGGCCCATAACAGCATCATAGCATAGCAGAGCATAGCCATGGTGTGGGACTCTGTCTGCACGCGCGATTGAGTGAGACTGTGCATGGACGAAGATATTCAGTCAGCCAGTCAGTCAGTCAGTCAGCAGAAGCGGCACTAAGAGTCCGGGTGGGAGCGGCAACGTATGAGTTAGTCTGGCCGTTGGGGTTTGGGGGCTGAGAACAGGTGAGTCTGAACACGAGTGGATGACGCGAGTCAAGGTGACCGTCGTCGAGCACGAATTTGAGTCTGAGTATGAGTCTCATGAGTCCCCCTGCGGATGGCAATGGGGAATGCAACGCCCAAGAAATCAAAGTATGAAGCAGGAAGGATGTGGATGGAAGAACAGGGAGGAGGAGGAGGAGGAGGAGGAGGAGGATCCTGCAATGATTTTGCTTGCGCCACCGCCAAACAACTTCAGTTGGAAGTTATGGGTTAAAGAACTCCATGTTGTCGAGGGCATCCATGGTCGGCAGCTTCAACGGGTCTGGGTAGTCACGGTGATCGGGTTGGTTATCCACCATGCGGCAATTCAGAACCCACCATTTGAGTAACTTCTCTGTGTGATACTTCCCACCGTTCGCATTCCACAGGCGCCTTCGGCGACACTTCCCATGGTATTT